ACTCAAAGAATGTAGAAAAAGAAAGAGAACAAAAGAAAGAAGTACAAGAGACACGACCCTCCCCCGGACTTACTTCACACCGTCCCCGGTGTGAAAATAAGCTAGAGAAGGGCCCAGAAAACTTACCTGGTTCGCACATGTAGAGTACCCTGGCGGAGCAGGTGCTCCGGAACAGATCTGGGTGCTCCCTCGTCTTTTGTTCGTCTGGAGCAGGTGTCGGAGCAGGTGCTCCGGTGTCCCTTGGGTTGCTCTTTCGTCAATTTTTCGTCTGGAGCACCCCGTGGAGCAGGTGCTCCGACAGAGGTGGGGGTGCTCATTCGTCATTTTTTTACGCTGCGAGCATCCAACCCAGCAGATGGAGCGGGTGCTCCGGTTGGTTGCTCCTTCTTCTTCTTCCTCACATCCTTTCTCACGCTGAAATTTTTTTTTTTTTTTTTTTTTATATGAAAACAAGAACCTAAAAACAAAGTTAGTAGCGAAAATGAAAGAAAAAAGTTAGAGACTCTTACCGGTGGTTTGCCTCCCACCAAGCGCTTGTTTTAAGTCATTAGCTTGACTTGGAAAGCCATTTAGGCTTGAGGAGGATCGCTTAAGGTGACTGATTCACCCTCTGCGATTTTTGGACCAGCAAGGTATGGCTTCAACCTCTGTCCATTGACAACAAACTCGCCTCCTTTAGTGTCCAGCAACACTACACCTCCATATGGTCGAACCTCCTTGATGGTGAATGGTCCAGACCATCTCGATCGCAGCTTCCCAGGAAACAATTTCAATCTACAGTTAAAGAGCAATACCTGATCGTTTGGTGCAAAGCTTATGTTGAGGATCCTCTTTTCATGGAAAGCTTTTGTCCTCTCTTTGTAAATCTTCGAGTTTTCATAGGCCAGGTGCCTAATTTCCTCCAGCTCATGCAACTGCATTACTCTCCTCTCCTGAGCACTCTTTGCATCGAAATTCAGCAGCTTCACTGCCCAAGCATCTTTGTACTCAAGTTCCACTGGAAGATGACATGTTTTTCCATACACCAAGTGGAATGGTGTAGTCCCCAAAGATGTTTTGTAAGCTGTTCTGTATGCCCAAAGAGCATCATCAAGCTTCACTGCCCAATCTTTCCTTGTGGTGCTCACAGTCTTCTGCAGAATGTTCTTGATCTCCCTGTTGGAAACCTCAACTTGCCCACTCGTCTGAGGATGGTATGGGGTCACCACCTTATGCCTTACACCATTCTTCTTCAACAAGTTTTCAAAGACTTTGTTGATGAAGTGAGAGCCTCCATCGCTAATCACCACTCGCGACACACCAAACCTGGGAAAAATGACAGATTTGAACATCTTTAAAACAACCTTTGCGTCATTTGTGGGACTAGCCAGAGCTTCCACCCACTTTGACACATAGTCAACTGCCACCAGAATACACTCATTCCCATAAGATGATGGAAAAGGTCCCATGAAGTCTATACCCCACACATCGAAAATCTCCACTTCCAAGATGAAATTCTGAGGCATCTCATTCCTCCTGCTAATGTTTCCTTGTCTCTGACATGTGTCACACCTGGATATGAATCTCTGCGCATCTCGGAACATAGTAGGCCACCAATACCCAGCCTGCAGAATCTTCGACACTGTTTTAAAAGTGGCAAAGTGACCAGCATAAGGTGAACCATGGCAATGAAAAAAGACCCCAGGTATCTCCTCATCAGCTACACATCTCCTGAAAATACCATCAGAGAAATGCCTGTATAAGTAAGGCTCATCCCAAAAATAGTGCCTCACATCCTTCAGAAACTTCTTCTTGTTTCCCACGAAATCTGCAGGTTCCTGCTCTGCAGCAAGGTAATTTGCAATCTCTCCAAACCATGGGAAACCAGAATGCCGATCTACGTCCACTTGGTTGCAAAAACTCGTCAGAGTAGGTGCTCCAGGTTGGAGCAGGTGCTCATCGAACCCAGAAACATCTATGGCGTAAACTTGTTCATCAGGAAGGCTGTCATCTAGTGGAATGTCATCATCAATCTTCAGCCTCGACAAGTGGTGTGCAACACCATTATCAATCCCTTTTTTGTCTTTGATCTTCAAATCAAACTCCTGCAGCAAGAGGATCCATCTAAGGAGCCTTGGCTTGGCATCTTTCTTCGTCAACAGGTATTTCAGCGCTGCATGGTCTGTGTGAACAACAACTTTCGACCCAACAAGGTAAGACCTGAACTTCTCAAAGGCATAAACCACTGCAAGAAGCTCCTTTTCAGTTGTGGCATATCTGCACTGAGCTTCGTCGAGTGTTCGGCTGGCATAATAGATGACATGGAGCCTTTTTTCTTTCCTTTGTCCCAGCACTGCTCCCACTGCTTTAATCACTAGCATCAGTCATCACCTCAAAAGGAAGTTCCCAATCTGGTGGCTGGACAATAGGAGCGCTGACTAGAGCTCCTTTGATAGTGTGAAATGCCTCCAAACATGCATCATCGAACTCGAATTTCACATCCTTGCACAACAGCTGCGTCAAAGATCTAGCAATCTTTGAGAAGTCTTTGATGAAGCGTCTATAAAAATCAGCATGACCCAGAAAACTGCGAACGCCTTTGACTGTTGTTGGTGGCTGCAAACTCATCATCACCTCGATCTTCGCCCTGTCCACCTCGATCCCTTTCTCTGAGATTTTGTGTCCCAGCACGATCACATCTCTCACCATGAAATGACATTTTTCCCAGTTAAGCACTAGATGCTTCTCCTCACACCGCTGCAAGACCCTGCACAAATTAGACAAACAGACAGAAAAGGAGCTTCCATAGACAGAAAAATCGTCCATGAAAACTTCCATTATGTCTTCAATCAGGTCAGTAAAAATCGACATCATGCAGCATTGGAATGTTGCTGGAGCCTTACACAAGCCAAATGGCATTCTACGATACGCAAAAGTGCCATAAGGGCATGTGAATGTCGTATTCTCCTGGTCCTCTGGGTGGATTGGGATCTGAAAGAAACCTGAATAGCCATCTAAAAAGCAGTAGTAAGGGTGGTTAGCCAAACGTTCAAGCATCTGATCGATAAATGGTAACAGAAAATGATCTTTGCGAGTTGGAGCATTCAATTTCCTGTAATCTATGCACATTCGATGCCCAGTAACAGTTCTAGTTGGTATCAATTCATTCCTATCGTTTTTTATCACAGTGATGCCACATTTCTTAGGAACTACATGAACCGGACTAACCCAATTACTGTCTGAAACCGCATAGATCACACCAGCTTCTAGAAGTTTCATTATCTCTTTCTTAACAACATCTTGTAGATTCGGGTTTAACCTCCTCTGATGTTCTACAGAAGTCATCGATTCATCTTCTAGATGTATTCTATGCATGCAAAGATCTAGAGAAATCCCTGGAATTTCATCTAGTGAATATCCTAGAGCTTTCCTATACTTTCTAAGTTCACAAAGAAGCAAGGCAATCTATACATTGTTCAATTCAGAGTTCACTATCATAGGGTATGTCGAACTGGGTCCTAGAAACGCGTACATGAGCCCCACAGGAAGGGGTTTGAGCTCAAGCTTCGGAGCTCTCAATTCACTCCAAGGTCCATCAATCAAGCCGTCGGGAGCAGGTGCTCCAGGATTCGGAGCAGGTGCTCCGTCGGCTTTTTCTGCAGGTGAGCTCTCCTTGCCTTCTAAGCTCATGTACGCCACCAGCCTTTGCATCCTCGTACTTGCATTCAGCATCCTTGCAAACCCATCAGCTTCCTCACTCAAATACCCATGTTCTCCTTCAGCTTTTGTGAGTGCAACTTCCAAAGGATCAATGGCTAAAACCTCTTCAGCAACCTCTTCAGCAATGTCTGAACCATCATCTATGACAAATGTCTGTCCGTCCAGCATTGGTTTCTTGAGGATTTTGTTCATCTCAAATCGCACCACCATATCTCCCAGCTGGAGATCTATAACACCTCCTTTCACATCTATGATTGCACCAGCTGTGCATAAGAAAGATCATCCCAATATCAAAGGATCCTTGGGTTCTTCATCAACCTCAAGAACCACAAAATCTGCTGGAATGAGTGTATCGCCTATCTGAACATGCAGATCCTCAAGTATACCAATAGGGAATTTGGTTGATCTATCAGCGAATACCAGCGAGATTTTCGTCGGTTTAAATCTGGTGTAACCCAATCGCTTGGCTACAGAATAAGGCATCAGATTCACACTTGAACCCAGATCACAGAGAGACCTTGCAAACAGCACATTCCCAATCCTGACTGAGAGAACAAACCTTCCTGGATCACTTCTCTTCTTCAGCACTTTGTTCTGAAGCACAGCACTGCACTCCTTCGAAACCATCATGACACTCTCTTCCTCAACAGCTTTCCCAGACACTAACCCCTTCATGTATCTTTTAAGGGCTGGTATCATCTGAACAGCATCAGCTAGAGGGAGTTTTACAGTCAAATCCTTCAGCATCTCCCTGCACTTTGCCTCCTCTAAGTCCTTTCGGGACTTCTTTGGTGGAACTGGGTAAGATACCTTAGGCGTGTAAACTCTTGCAGGAATGTTTGCTGGAGCAGGTGGCTGGAGCAGGTGCTCCCTCGTTGGCTCAGGGTGCTCCATCGTCAAATCTACGTCTGGAGCAGGTGCTCCCGATTTTGGAGCATGTGCTGCGATGGGGGAAGAGTGCTCCTTCGTCTTTTTACGTCATGAGTTGGTTCCTCTTCTTGGAGCAGGTGCTCCACGTCTTTTTCCTTCCTTTTTTCTGAGACAAAACTTGTTGGTGCAGCATGCAGAGTCTTCCCATTTCTCAGCTCAATAGCATTCACAAACTCATTCCTGGGGTTTCACCTTTTCCAGGGAGATTCTGCAGTCTGAGCTACCTGAACATCCAGCTTCTTCACATGAGTTCACACTGCTTCATACTTGCCATTCAAATCATTGTACATGGTGTCCACTGTGGCATTAATCTCCATGGAAGACTTTTGCTGATTAACCAGCAGCTGTTGCATCAAGTTTTTCAGCTCATCCTACGAGTTATTTGAGGAACTCGAAGAAGGCTGCAGACTTGTGAAAGGCAACTTCGGCTGACTTCCACCTTGAAACCGATTCTGATTGGTGATGAACTGCTTTTCTTGGAAGTTGCTGGAGAAGTTCTTCTGAATTCCTGACTGATTCTGCACTCCTTGCTGTGGATAGACCTGATCCTGAGGGTTCTCAACATTGTTTCTCCTATAGGACAAATTCGGGTGGTTTTTGAAGTTGTTGAAGCTGCGATTCTGCACATACCCTTGTCCATTCACGAAGTTCACCTCCATCTGATCATCATTCTCTGCATCTACAAACTCTTGAGCAAGAGGTGCATCACCAACCTCATCAGCAAAATGCACAGATCTCTGGTTCTCTGTCAACAGCAGATTCACCTTTGCTGTAAGCTCATCGATCTTGCTCAACTCCACACTATGAACTGCTTTGCTAGACCTGTCATATTCTTGGGATTTGTTGCTGGAGCTTGCAGCTAAGTTCTCAATCAACTCATAAGCAGCTTCTTTGGACTTAGTCATGAAATCGCCATTGCTAGCTGCATTCAAAGCATTCCTGTAATCCCAGTTGACACCATCATAAAAGGTTGACAGAATCTGCTCATCAGAGAACCCATGGTGAGGGCACTCTCTTCGGTACTCCTTATACCTTTCCCAAGCTTCGCAGAAAGCTTCACCAGGTTGTTGTTTAAATGACGAGATCTTGTTCTTCAGAGCTGCAGTTTTGGCCTTAGTGTAGAAATGGTCCAAAAATGCTGATCTGCACTCTTCCCATGTAGTCAATGACCCAGGTGGTAATGACTTCAGCCAGCGCAAAGCTTTGTCCGCAAGTGAAAATGGAAAAAGCTTGCACTTCAAAAAATCGGCTGGTATCCCATTTGATCCAGTCGTGCTGCAAATCTCCTCAAAATTCTCGATGTGGTCCATCGGAATCTCAGCAGGAAGGCCATGAAAGAGATGCTGCTTCACCAATGTGATCAGCTGAGGTTTGATCTCAAAGTCTTGCCTCTGAATGGTTGGAGGAGCAATCGCAGCCCTGTTTTGATAGTAAGCATGCAGACTGTCCTTGTCTCCAATAGCAGGCTGTGGCTGCTCCCTGTCTTGCTGCGCCTTTTGCAGCTGCTCCAATTGCTGTCGAAGCTGTTGCAGCTCGACAGCCATGTTTTCATTGTTGCCTTGATCGCCCATGTTGGCTTGAATAGGCCTTTGACGTCTGTTTTCTCGCTTGACTCTTGCTAGATCGGTGTTTGACAAAGAAACAAGATCGGTGCAGTTGCTCCTTGTGGATATGTTTGACATACACCTGAAACACATGCAAACAAGAGAACAAGAGAAAAAATATTAGTAAAGTCTTAGTCTGAATTTCAAACCAAAAATCAAAGGTAATGAATTGGTCCCCGTCGCAACGGCGCCAAAATTTGATTCACACTGGATGTACTCCTAGTTTCTACTGCAATAGAACAGTGATGTAATTGTAATATAAAGGATTCGGAATCCAGAGGACCAGTGTTACTCTATGACTTTGCGAAGATTGAATTAAAGCTAAGACGAAAGATGGTTTGTTTGTAACGTTAACGACAAGTAAAAACAAGCTAAAAACGATTTCAATTCAAATTTAAAACAAGCACTAGATCAAGGTAATTCGCAGGAGTTTCAGAGATGAGAATCAAATGACTATTCAGGACACAACTTAAATGCAGGTCTCAAACTCAAATATAAAAGCTTATCGATCCACTGTTGTGATCTCGATAACTTTATCTAACAACCTAAATTCTAAACTGTCGTTTGAACCTAGAAAATTGCAGACAAGCATTAACGATCAGGTTTGATATGTTCACGATTTGCCTTACCTTAACTTCAACTGTCGTTGGCTAAGGAAAAATCGCTCACCAATGTTTGTTCTAGCAACCTATTAAACTTTTGATGAATAGATTAACCTATGGACATAAATTGAATGGCCAGTTCAACCTAAGCGTTAAGTCTAACAAAGGTGAAGACAATCGATTTTAAACCCTATTTGCATCCAATTCTCTAACTCATGAAATCCTTTGAAAACCTTAATCTAGCTAAGAGATCTACTCAGACATGGAGGAAAAAAACACAGCAACAGATGAAAATGAATTCATGAATTAAAATCGCAGAAGAGATAATAGGGTTCAGAATTCTTCTCAAAGTGTAGCAGATTTTAGTACCACCATGCCTTGAAGCTCTTTAGTCTTGTTCAGAATGGCATCCTTCAAAAACTTACCCATCTTTGGCATCATTAGGAATGCATCAATGAGAGGCATAGTGAGTGGTGTCTCATTGAGTGCCTTCTCAAATACAGCTCTTGCCTTTTCCACAAGTTGCTTCTTAAATCTCTCTGCAAATGGGAGCTTGGGTTGGTATGGAGGTGGTGGAACATATGTCTTTTCTGGTTCAGGTTCCTTTGCTACCTCTTTACCCTTTTCTGTCCTTGGTTTTTTAGCAACTTGATCATCTTTTAAGGCTGTCTCCCCCTCAGTTTGATCATTGTCCTCAAGGATCACATTGTTTTGCTCAATACCAGGTAGCTCCTTTCCACTCCTCAGTGTAATGGCCTTAGCATATTCCTTGGGGTTGGGTTCAGGTTTTCCAGGTAGGTGGCCTTGGTTCCTTGAGCTTGAGGCCTGGTTTTGCTTCAGTTCCTTGATTTCCTGCTGCATGGCTGCATTTTGGCTTAAAAATATCTGTTGACCCTGAAGTAGTTGTTGCAGAATACCAACCATATCTGACCCCATCTGTGGCTGCTGCTGAACCGTTGGTGGCTGAAACAGTTGTTGAACCGGCGCCTGCTGTTGGAACTTTGGTGGACCAAACCCTAGTGGTGCCTTTTGCTGTTGTGAACTGAAATCAGTACCCTGAAATGGTTGCTGTTGCTGACCAAAACCCTGATTCTGAGCAAACTGATTCTTGGGTTGGAATGACCCTTGAAAGTTGTTCTTGGGAACAAAGTTCTTTGGAGCTTGAGAATTGGGATAGACCTGGTCTTGTGGGTTAGCTACATTGGGATTCCTGTAAGAGAGGTTTTGATTGGCATTCCCATACTGATATCTTTGGAACCTCTGATTTCCAATGTAGTTAAGCTCCACCTGGGTTAGGCATTCTTCACTTATGTTCTCAAAGATTTGAGAAGGTTCCTCATACTCTCCTACAAAGTGAGTGGTGAATTTCAACTTGTCCAATTCACTTCTCAACTCCTTAACTTCTCTGCTGAGCCTCTGTTCTGAGCTTGAACCTTCAGATCTATTTGATCTGTCATAGTCTTCACCATAAGGGTCATTGCTCATTGCTAAGTTCTCCACTAGCTCTAAAGCGGCATGAATCTTCTTTCCCAGAAAGTTTCCATTGGAAGCAGTATCCAGCTGGTTTCTAATCTTGGGGAGACCTCCTCTATAAAGTGTGCTGAGAAGAGAAGCCTCACTAAACCCATGGTGTGGGCATTGGTTGGTGTAGCTCCTGAATCTCTCATATGCTTCACCAAAACTCTCATTGCTGTGCTGAGTGAAGCTAGAGATTTGATTCCTTAGTTTAGCAGTTCTGGAGGTGGAGAAGAACTCAGATAGGAAGGCTTGCTTGCATTGCTCCCAGGTTTGAATGGAGCCTCTTGGAAGATTCTTCTCCCATTGGTGAGCTTTGTCACCAAGACTGAAGGGGAATAATCTTAGCTTGAAACTGTCTTCAGAAACTCCATTTATCTTTGTCAGGTCACACACTTTATCAAATTGATCCAAGTGTTCCAAGGGATCTTTCATTGCTAATCCATGGAACTTTGAGTTCTGGACCATATTCAATAAGGATGCCTTCACTTCAAAGTTGTTGTTTTGCACAGGTGGTGCCTGAATTCCAGCTCCATACTGATGAGCATTTGCCCTGTCATTCTCTCCAATATAGACTTGTGGTTGCTCATATCTCCTTTGCTGGTCTTGGAAGGGCTGATGTTGGTGGTGCACCTGTTGTCTTTGCTGTACATTGGCCTGATGCCTCTGTTGATGAGCTGGAGCTTGTCCCTGGTGGACATAAGCTTGCTGTTGATGCACTTGTTCCTGATGAACATTACCCTGATGTAACCCTTGACCAACTCCATTACCAGCTCCATTACCCTGAGCCTGTTGCTCCTGAACCGGTTGTCCTATGTCCACCACATGCTCACTTTGGTCTTCCATATCAGCCTGATCAATCTGTCTGCCATGCCTGTCCCTTCTCCTCCTTGGTACCAAAAGATTAATGTTGTCGTTTAAGGGGAAAGGTGGACCACAGCTTCTTGATCTGGACCTGGTGTTCATTGATATGTTCATAATTTGCATCATTTAGGTTGCATAAATCATTCCAAATCATGTTTTATTTCATGCATTTTAGGTCCTTAGGGTTTGTTTTAGAACTTAGGAGATGCATTAGGTCCCAATGAGTCTTTGCATGTTTTGAGTGTCTATCAGGTGAATATGGAGCTGAAAAGATGAATCCAGGAGGTGGAATGGTGAGCAAAGCTTGAAAAAGTGGAAAAATTGGGTCTTAGGAGATTATCGGCCATTCTCGCTGGCCAGGAAGGTTTTACCGGCCATTTTCATGTACCGCGAATGAAGTGTATCGACCAAAATCTCCGGGTGTGAACGTGCCTCAGAAATCGCCTGTCCGGGGAGCCTTCCGGTCCGATTCAGACGGCGGGTGCTTCATAGAAGTTGGAGAGCATTGGAGCACGGTCTCATAGCAAGTGGAATCGTGAAATTCGGACGCGTGAGCAGAGAGATAAGCTCGTCGGAAGGAACCCCTGTCTCGCAGGTATTCCGGACCGAGCAGATCAGTTCTGAAGGATGCGAAGGACGGTGCACTTCCAGGCCGATTCAGTTTCCGGGGCCTTCATGAGAATCAGAGACATTTGAGTCTTCTTTCCAGAACATCCGAGATCAGTCAATTCGGAGCTTTGAGCAGAAAGATACGCTCTCCGGAATGAACACATGTCTAGACGCCTTTCTCTGGTCGTGTAAATACACTTCAAAGATGTGCCCTCCAGGAAACCTTACACTTCCCAAGCACTGAAACTTCCTTCATCAAAGTTGGAGAAAAATGAGTCCTCTGTCTTCTGAAACCGGAATCACTCAATTCGGACAAGTCTCCAGGAAGTTACACTCTCCGGAATGCGAGATGGTCCAGACAGCCCAGAGCGACTAAGTTAAGCATGCCGCGATGGAATGCCACGGTCCACACTTGGCTGTGGAAACTTTTGTGCACCCTCGGAAAATGACACGATTTTCATGCCACGGTCTACACTTAACCGTGGCAAACACACACTTGGCTGAGAGGAACTTCTTGCAACCTTCGGCGATTGACACGGCCTAAATGCCACGGTCTGAGGCTTGACCGTGGCAACCTCTTGCAACCTTCGGCGATTGGCACGAGCTGAATGCCACGGTCTGGGACTTGACCGTGGCAAATGAACAAGTGGCTGGAGACAACTTCTACACAGCTTCGGCTTTTGACACGATTTCAATGCCACGGCCTGAGACTTGGTCGTGGCAAGCGTAGACTTGGCTGGGAAGGATTTCACATGCATGCGGGTTTTGGCACGGTCAGAATGCCACGGTCTGGGGGCTTGACCGCGGCAACCTTTACACATCTTCGGCGTTTGACACGGTAACTTGCCACGAGTTCCAGATGAAGCTTGATCAGACCGTGGCATCAAAAGGAACCAAGAACACAAGTAAAGACTTTGACACGGTCAGGATTGCCACGGTCACTCCAAGAGCACACCAGACCGTGGCAAACCTACACTTACCCATCAAGGCCGGGTCAGTACCCGGTTTGTTCCGGGTTGACCCGGTTCGCCCAAGCCTCCTTTATAAGGTTTTTAGACCTAATTTGTAGAAGACACTGAATCTACTTTTAGTCTTCTTTCCCCTTTGGTGAAAACCTACTTAATACACTTTGTTTTAGAGAGTTTAAAATCGATTTGCAGTTTCTTTCCATCTTGTTCATCATTTCTTATCATCAAATCAAACTTCTAATCATGATTAACAGCACATCTTGCAAAGGATCTAGTGTGTTGATCATGATTAGTGAGTAGTTACCTTAATGAGGTTCTAGATGTGTAGGTTAGGGTGCTAAAGTGTTAGATTAGGAATGCTTAGGGCTAGATTCATTGATTCATTTCTCTAAACAACTGTTCTCTATGCTAGATCCTTGATAATCACTTGAGATCTAGATTCTGGGAATTTCATGCACCAAAAGTGTTTGATAAAATTCCTGAAAGAGTTGTATTAGAGGTTTAAGCATTTTTCTGCATG